TAAATCAAAAAATTAGCCAGTTGTGATAGCATGCGCCTGTGGTTCTAGCTACTTGGAAGGCTGAGGCAGTAGGTTCTCTGGAGCCCAGCAGGTAAATGCTGGGGTGGCTGTGAGCATGCCACTGCACTCCAGTCTGGGTGACAGAGTAAGACTCCAACTCAAAAAAAAAAAAAAGAATCAATGATGTTAAATATATTTTTCCAAACTGAGAATACTGTTAAAATTCACAATGCAGGCAGGGAGGTGGGATTGACAGTAGTCAAGATCTGCCTGGAGGCAGGAGGGAGGGCACATCTCATCAACAAGGGTAGCTGCACAATGAATATTTGTATACCTAACCCTGAATTATACCCCACAATTAAAAAAAATAAAATAAAATATTTTTTAAAAAATCACAAAGCACATTAGAGCATTAAAAACTCTGAGATGTCCTGTAGAAGAAAAAAAGATGTACTATGATTTAACTCTGCATATCCAAAATTTTTGCCATAGAACTTTTTTAAACTTTCATAGAAAATTTAGTATCTTTTTGTGAAATACTCTTGTTCCATGGAGACACTGAACAGCAGTCAAAGGTAGTAGAAGCAGAATCCCTGAAACCAGACTGGTCTGAATGATCTGATTGACCTTGGGCAAGTTACTTAACCTCTGTATGCCTCGGTTTTCTCATCTATAAAATAGAGATAATAACAGAGTTTATTTCATGAGGGTGTCAAAGATTAGTTGAGTGTTGTTATAATTATTGTGGAACATTCTTAAAGCATCAATATAAAATTAGTGGCACTGTTTGTTGGCCTTCTATTACTGTTTGGAGAATCAATATCATTTTGCAATTTGTAAAAGTTTCAGCTAATGCACTCCCATGTAATGTACCACATGGAGTTGCCCATGTTAGAAGAAACTGTACTCTTGTAAATACATAACTGAAATTCCATAGCATCTTTACCTTTTAGTTTGGAGTTCATAATAAAAGTACTGTTTTTTTTCCCCTCTCCCCACAACATCTTTATTTCTTTTTTTGTTTGTTTGTTTGTTTTGAGTTGGAGCTCACTCTGTCGCCCAAACTGGAGTGCAATGGCCGCTTCCGGCCACCGCAGCCTCGACCTGCTGGGCTCTGGCGACCCTTCCGCCTCAGCCTTCCGAGTAGCCGGAATTACAGGCATGCGCTACCACGCCCGGCTGATTTTTTGATTTATTGTAGAGATGAGGTCTCGCTGCCCAGGCGGGTCTCGAATCCGCAGGCTCAGGCAATCCACTCACCTCAGCCTCCCAAAGGCGCGGGGACATCTTTATTTCTATGGCAGTGCTCATCTTTTGGCAGTCAGCTAACATCTTGTGCTGCTTGTACTCGAATTACAACTATTTTGCAGGATGACTCTCATCTATTAGAAAGGCACTCTCAAGTGAATTGTGTATATACCATCTAGCTTGTGTTCTAAACATCCTAAAGATCCCTCTAAGTGTTTTGAAGATTCATCTAACTGTTGTTTTGTTACACAGTAACAGGCAAACAGGAAATTAACTTTGTATTAATTTCATCCTAAGAGCACTCCCAGAAACATTCAATTTTTAAAGCTGTATTTCAAGTACCCAGTAATGATATATATGTTCAAATATGCCCTTTCCTTCATTCAAATATCAACCTTTATTATTTTTAAGTATGTGTTGCTCAAAACAGATGCTTTTTAAACTCTTTGTAATGATGTTGTGAGAATTTTTGATTCCCACATACTTTATGATGATCAGAAGTTAATGACCTGTCCAAAGCAATCTATGCTAAAAGGAAGCAGAATGACATCCAAACCATTTTGTCATCTGTCTAAATAGTTTAGCTCAGTTCAACAAGGCTACTAGCCAGAGAAGAAAAAGTCCACATATGAAATGTTTAAAGAGAGAGATCTGCTTAAGTTGAAGTGAAGAATAAAATTAAAATTGAGTTTCACCTTGCTAATCTGAGTAGCATTTACTGGGCACATTTAACTAAAAGAATGAGGTTGACTATTCATTTTTTCCACTTGATTAAAGTGTATAGTGGGTAAGGGATTCTTTAGGTGGGACTATGAACTAGCAGAAAAGAGGCATTAAATGATGGTATAGCCTTAGATGAATTCATCACAGCCTAGATGCCGGTCTTCAGTGCAAAGGCTCAGAAATTTGATTTGGTGGGCATATAGTAAACAGATCTGACACGGGTTCAAATTAAACTAAATATGAAGGACTCGATAGGTAGGACCAGAAAAGTCATTCACTCCTAAAAGGAGATCTCTATGGGAAGTCAACATACAATCAAAAGTGTTTGGAAGGAAGTGAAATTTGAGTAAGGGGAATTAGGTTTTGTGATCTGAGTTATTCATGGCATGAAAATTTGCCAGACTGAGGTTCTATCACCCAGCATGGAATATGTGCTACAGGGAACAAATAAGTTATTTTCATTTTTATTTCATTTCCCTGATTGGAGTCTAGATGGGCACCATAAGCATCTAACTCCTTAGATCTACCTTGTCTATGCCTAGACTCACTGTCTCCTTTTCTCCATCACATATTTCTCCATAAGGACTGTATTATCATCTATTAGATTCCATCTTACTAAATTATAATCACAGGTTTTTTTTTGTTAACAGAGCTACTTCTGTCTCTTTGGCCACCCGTTTACACACCAGTCTAGATTTATACACCAGTCTAGATAGATTAGTCTATTAGTCCCGGTGCAGAAGGGTAAAAATTCATTGAGTGGTAATTTTGTTAACTAAATTATCATAGAGCAATTGTATTTATCTTATATTCTAGCTTGATTTCCCATCTTTTCTGTCACTTTCATGTGCTATCCATGGTGTTACTTTCCTCCCTTTATTCTCCTCACAGGGCAGATTCTTAAATTTTTAGAGGGTAGACTTATATTTATAGCCCAAGGCAAAGATAACCATAAGCATCAGGTCAAGCATTTTTATAGCTCCCAACCCCTTGAATAATTTCTAAATACGATTCTATAAAATATTCATGCAGCACATTCTACATTTGACATTTCAAATACAAAATATGTCTTCAGTGAACCTGGCTGTAATGATAACATAGTCATTCACTGAGTATCCAATTATTTTTTCCATTTCAGCATAAAACCAGATGAGACACACACAGGGTGGAAAAAAAACAACTGTGTTCTTTATCTGAAGAGACTGTAGTTGACAGTGATGCAAAAAACAAATCATTAACCTTTCTGAAGAGTCCCTTATGTTCCTTAACCTTGCTGCCTTCTGTTATTTTCAACCTTGGGACCCTGTGATCTTTGCTGCCTCTAGGGCTTTGGAGATAGAGGAAAGGTCTGGGGTAAACCCAGAGAATCTGCACTGACTTGAGCAGTTTCCTCAGAGAAGGCTAACTCTTGGTTTGTAGAAAGCAGTATCATTCTGAGTCATTTTAGAAAAGTTCTGGTTTGATATATAGAAGAAACACATGGTGGCTTTGGAAAGTTAGAGAGGCTCTGGACAAGATCCTATCCTTTAAGATCTGAGATTTTGAAGTCAGCCTGAACGTATGGTTACTGGTAATCTCCAAAGCAGCCTTTGAGTATGCATCTAGTTATGTCTGAAAGCCTGACAAGGGCCAAGCAAACCAAGTGACTTGCATATTGGTTGTAGTTCATAGACCTTGGAAGAAGATGAGGGACGGTATCATGGGATGCTACCCAATCACAAAAACCAGGTAGAATAACCCAAAGGGTCATCATTTTTAAGAGTCTGGAGCAAGAGAATCCAGGTACCAAACCAACGAAAGAATGTTCTCAATAAAGGACAGAGCCTGATGATCTTCTTATGTTGATGAAGGGGTAGTTTTAAAAAGATCTCCAAATATGCATTATATAATACATACCTAGAACAATTCATAAACAACCATGTATATCATAAGATATAAATACCCATCTTGAGAGTAAAATATTACCTAATACAGTTGAAATCCCTGTGTTTTCCTCTCTAATTGTATCTCTCTGTCCCAGAGGTAATCATGATCTTGAATTTCCCATGAATTTGCCTATATTTAGATTGCAAATGTATGTATTTCTAAATCATATATAATATTTTTGCAAGATGTAGCCTTCATATATATGCTGTCATTCTGCATGAATTCTTCTGTAACTTGTTTTTAAAACTCAACATTGCTTGTAAGATATATTTATGTTAATACATGTAGCACTGGCTCATATTCGTTTCACCAACAGTGCTTTTTATGATGTGGTCCTAGTTGTAGGGTGGAAGAGGAGAAAAGTAGGGAGGCACGTAAGGGCCCTGACCTGTTTTGGACAGTCCAGATTGTGCCCTTAGTGTCCCAAAGTGGTGAGCCAATTCACCCAAGTTTCAGTTGCAAGAATGATGGCAGGATGCAGCTAGCAGAAGCTAATTATAATAGAGGAAACTGATTTTGCATAGAGAACCGGGAATCAACTAAATATAAATAACATTTCATGGTTTAAAAAATTTAATAAAATAAATATTTAATAAATGCATATTTACTGATTTTAAAAAGTTTTTTGAGATAGGTACATCAATATTTCAAAAATTAGACTGTTTTACAAATGCTGTGAGGAAAATGGCCTAATTAAGTTTTCTCTCCTTTGTTTTCTTCACCTTTTCAGTGTTTTCTGCATTCTGTCCCAATGGATCTGATTCCTGCTCTGTAGCTTTCTGAAGGATTAAAGTTGAGCATCATTAGTGACATTCAGCTGCTGCCTGATTGCACACTACAGCAAAGGATTTGTAGATCTTTTTCAGTTAAAACAATAATGAGTTTCTTGGAATGTATTCACAGTAGAGCCTGTTTCACGTATATCCTAAAAGAATACCTAACGAACCTAACGACCATCAGCAATTCTGCACAGATCTTATAAAAAATCACTTTACACAAAACAATTGAGTGACTCTGGGCTGATTGGAGACCCTTAATCGTAGATATCAGTTCACCTTCTAGAAGATTCAACCACTACTACTCAGAGCTACTTCTGAAATACCATGTCTAAGAACTCGGAGCTCATCAACCTGTCATTTTTATTAGATCATGAGAAGGAAATGATCCTGGGAGTCCTAAAGAGAGATGAATACTTGAAAAAAGTGGAGGACAAGAGAATAAGGTAACATTCTTTTATATTTTCAGCCCTTCTTGACTGTTTTCTGTTTGCTTGAAACAATTTAGATCAGAGATGGGGCAATTGAGACCACACTGGAGACAGATGTTAGTCAAGAAATTAATGGGTTCCCAGCAGTAGCCCAAATATTAGAAAACATTTCTGGCACTTCACCAGACAGAAGGATGGAATGACCTCATAATATGGTGGCGATGAGAACACTTAATTTGCTAATAATGTCATAACTAGTAGTTAAGAGGAAGGACTACTCAACTTTGAGTACCAGCTCTGGCATGTGACTTTATGTGATTTATGTAACTTTGAGCCAGCTACTCAACTTCTCCATGACTTAGTTTCCTAAATGAGAATGTAAAGATAATAATAATACCCACCTCATATGGTTGCTGTAAATATTAAGGAAGCTAATACATGTGTAGTGCCTGGCATCTATGTGTTCAATAAATGTTAGTATTTATTTATAATGCATTTTCAATCAATTTTACTGAAGATTTGTCTCTACCATAACTGAGAGAAGAAAGGAATCTGGAGAGTGAAAAGTTCCTGTGGAACCACAGAAATCACTTGAATTTCTTTAAATAAGTTTTTGTGTGAAAAAAGTTGAGTGATATAGGCATAGTTGAGTTTCATATCCATTGTAGGCAGGGCTGTTATTTAGCTGGTTCCCCAGATAACACCTCACCTAATGCTTCAGCCAACATCATTCTGATTGGTTGCATCATCTGCTCTGAATGATCACATAATTGTTCCGATTGTTTGCACCATTATTGTGATTGGTTGTTGCCTATACTGTCCCAGTTTTTAAATATATTTGATTATTACTTCTTACCCTAGAAGAAAGAGTAGAATTAAGGAGTTTCCATGGCTTTTGTGTATTATATGGCTTCCCTAACTATAATCAGAAGCTTATGTTTATTTTAATTGAAGAAAAAACTAGTCATAAGAATAACTTCACGTGTTTCAAAAATCTTCAATGTGCCTGAAGCAGCTAGAATCCTTAGAAATGGAAATACACTGGAAGATTCTTAAATGATTTAGTTAATAGTTAAGAGCCCAGATGTTTCATTTGTGCTTTTCCAATATAGTCAACCAATTTCGAAGAAACAAAGGGTTTTTTTGTTTTTATTTTATTTATTTATTTATTTTAGAGACAATGTCTTGCTATGTTGCCCAGGCTGGTCTCAAACTCTTGGGCTCAAGCAATCATTCCACTTGGCCTCCCAAAGTACTAGGATTGCAGGTGTCAGCCACTGTACCTGGCCTAAACAAAGGTTTTGATGACAATTGTTGTACTTTTTCTAGGCCTATAATTCAGGTGGCAACAAAATGCAATTAATTATTTTAAGGAAATCAGAAATAATATTTTTTGCATTAGTAGTCAAGTCATGAAAAGTGACTAAATTGTCTAATGCCCTGCAAAACATTATATTGTTTATAGAGGATAGCATATCAACTAGTAATTGATGACATTCTCGGGGGAATTAAAAATCACTCCCTTTAGGAAGAAAATTTAATAACCAGATCCCTGGACACACTGAAGTACAATGAATATGACTATGTTTAGGATATTTGTTTCTGTCATTTCCGATAACTTTTAGCAATTATTATACTCTATCTTCCTCTTTCTTGTTCTATTTTCTTCTGTTCTTTCCTTATTCTCTGTGAATAAGTTCAGCTTAATTGTATAATATACAACAGAGCTATCAAGAAAAAGTCATCGATTTCCTGGCTCTTCAAACTTTTTTTTTTTTGGAATAATAGAAGAAAGGCTCTTAAAGATCAAAAGATTCATTTAAAAAATAGATTTTTTAGCTTGTACATCCAAGTTTATAGATAGCATTATTCACAACAGCCAAAATATGAAAGCAACTCAAGTGTCCACTGACAGAACAATGAATAGATAGGATGTGGTACATACATACAGTGGAATATAGTTCAGCCTTAAAAAGGAAGGGGATTCTGACACATAGAAAATAGATTTCTAAAAGCTTTGTATTGTTCCCATCTTTAATTTTAAAAAGTGGCTAATATTTACTGAGTGTTTGCCCTGCACTGTGTTAGATGTGCTGTCTTGTTTTGTTCTGAGTTCCTGAGATATGAGCTCAGGCCAGAAGACTCAGGTTCTGCCACTCTTAACAACTTTGTGGATTAAGAAGTCATGGCACAGTGGGTGGCATAGTGTTTAGAGTATATGCTGGTTTTTGTTTTTTGGGTTTTTTTTAGAATTTTTTTTAAAGATGTGGGGTACTAGTCAGGATTGAGTACATAAGTGGTTTACATACTACCACAAGTGGTCTACTTAGGAAGTTTGGGCCTCCCATTGGACCTAACTTCGCCTGGATTGGGATCATGCACCCTTATTGATGTTGTGTGCCCCGCCCCACACACACACACACTTCCCCTGGCAATGTCCTGCAGCTGCCAATCCCTTTCCTGTAGTATTATGATAGAGTATATGGTGTTGAATCACACATCCGGAGTTCAAATCTTAGTTGCACCATGAAATCTTTGTGCCACTTTAGACAAAATGCTTCCATGAATAAATCTGGTTTCCTCATTTGGTGAAACAGAAATTAAATTAACTACCTCATAAGATTGTTGTAAGGATTAAATAAGCTAATACCATAAAAAAGTTTAAAGCAGTGCTGGCATGCAGTAAGCACTCGATACTTGCTGACTAAGATCATTAGCCCCATTGTTGGTTTGTGTTGCCCTTGATTTACTAGTTGCACTGGACACTATCAGTTCTCTACTCAGATCCTTTGGGGCCCCTCTCCTCTCCTAGTTTCCATGTGCTTTGTTTCTAAGAACTTGCACCTTTTTTCCTTATAAAAGGATTACCTTTGGGTGACTGAAGTTTCCCATAGGATTAGAGAGCCACAAGTGCCAAGTAAACTTGAGTTTAAACTGAGCAACCCAAAGCTAGTGGTTGACAGGTATAGGACCCCCTTTCTTTAAGGCAGGACAAACTCTGTACTGCAACTTAAACCCTAGAGCTCCCTGTGAGCTCATGATGAGACTGGACTTCACCTAAAAATTACACCCTTGCTTAGCCCCTCTCCCTTGCCTTCTTCTGCCTCCCTTATTTCCTTACAGATTTCTCCTGAGAGCATCTCATAAGTTGCTTCTGCACAAATTTACATCACAGATTTGGCTTCTGGAAAACCCAACACAAGACACTGTAAAGCTATATATCACTGAGGCTATTACTAGTAAACAAAGTTAGCTTCAAGGGAAATAGAAATATAGTAAGTCTGGGAGGTGAGCATTAACGGATTTTTGGTTCATTTGATTTGCAAGTTATGATCTTCCCAGCAATTTTTGTCACATTCACTGTGGTTTGTGAACTGGTAAAGAAAGAAGTGAGACGCTACAGGCCAGGCTTAAGCATCTTGGTAAGATAGTATAACTTTTTGTTGACTATTCTCCCATTATACTCTTCTGACTCACCCTCTTCTTCTTATGAATTTAAATAGAACATAAATCAGTTCAAGGCAGCTTAACTGTAGCCCAGTAGGTCTGCATGACTATTAAATTCTGCAAACATTTTCCTGATACTATATACCATGCTGAACTCTGAAGAAAAGACAGGAAGATAAAAGAAAAGAGTACCCCTCAGGTATCCTGGTATAGAATTTAGGGTTCTGTGAACTTGAACTCGGGAAAAGTTGTACCTTTATTTTTATCAGCCTTAATTGAAATTTAGCATCTTATTCAATCATGAATGCAGACAATATACCATACTATAGCAGTCCCCCTTATTCATGAGGGATATGTTCCAAGACCACTAGTAGATGCCTGAAACTGCAAATAGTACCAAATCCTATACATATTATATTTTTTCAATCTGATAACTTAGAAGTTTGCTAAGTGACCAACAATAGCATATACGGTGTGCACACACTGGACAAACGGGATTCACACCCCGTGTGGAACAAAATGAGACAGTATGAGATTTCCTCACAACGTTCCAAGCAATTCACATTTGAAAACTTGTACATTGCTTATTTCTGAAATTTTTAGTTCAATATTTTCAGACCATGATTGACAGTAGATAACTAAAACTTTGGAAAGTAAAACTGAATAAGAGGAGGCTATTTTACTATTCGCTGTTCCCATGTCCTTGTTACCAGAGAAATCATAGAAATTACCACGTCACATTGAAGATTAAGCAAACATCCATGTTCGTCACTGCTTCAAAATTATGGTGGTTATTTAGACCTGCCACACAATTGTGTTATTTAATGTATAAATAAAGCATTATCTATTATTGTAACACAATTTCATGTTTTTAATATTTTAATAATTACATTTCTGCATAATGCATTTCTTTTGACAGCTGTGTACTTAATATTCAGACAAAAGCATGATTCTTAGAAGTAATTCATAAACTTCACCAGACTAGCAGGGGAATCCATGGTACCAAAAATGTTAAGATACCTAATATAGTGGGGAAGCCAGATCTATAACAAAGTAAAGACAGTGAAAGGAAGAGTGAAATAAGCATAAACTAGAAGCATAACCCAGAGGTCAGCAGAGTACACTGTCTTTGAGGATTGTTTTAGTCAAGGCTCTTCAGAGAAACTGAACCAATAGAACATATGGGGGTGGGTGGGATAGATAGATAGATAGATAGATAGATAGATAGATAGATTATAAGGAATTGGTTCATTCAATTATGCAAACTGAGAAGTCCAGACCTAGGAAAGCTGATGGTGGAGATTCATTTTTAATCCAAAGGCCTGAGAACCAGGACATCCAATGGTATAAGTTCTAGTCTGAGTTCAAAGGCCAAAGGTAAGAGAAAACAGATGTCCCAGCTTGAAGACGAAGATAGTTTTTTTTTCTTAGTCAGCTTTTTATTCTACTTAGACTTCAGTGGATTAGACTAGCATCACTCCTATTGGGGAGAACCATCTGCTTTACTCAGTCTACTGATTCAGATGTTAATCTCATACAGAAACACCCTCACAAGAATATCCAGAAAT